TGGTTAATTTGGAAATAAATTTTAAAAACTACATAATATAAAGGTAGTTTTGACACCTAAAATTTTAAGTTAATCAAGTGACAAGTGCACAGGTTGCCAAGGTATTAGAGGCAACTTTAAGGAATGTTTCGAATGGACGCCGGCTGAAACAATAGAAACTCTCTTGCTCTGCCAGAAACCTTGGAGTCACGCTTACAGACACCCTCTCCATGGACAAACATGTCACGAATATATGCAGATCAGCATACAACGAAATAAGAAAAAAATCAGCACCATTAGACACCTCCTCTCCTTTGATGCCACAAAAACTCTCGTCTCTTCACTCATTCTTTCAAAATTTGACTACTGTAACACTCTTCTCGCAGGCATTCCTGAACACCACATAGACAAACTTCAGAAGGCACAGAACTCACCATGCAGACTCATTTTTAAATCAAAGAAACATGACCACATTCAACCACACATGCGGCAACTCCACTGGCTTCCAAAATCCTCTCGCATCAAGTACAAGTCTGCCAATCTATGCTTCAACTCGTTCACTGACCCTCACTTTCCTGTCTATCTCTCTGAACTGTTGCTTCCTTACATCCCCACAAGACAACTACGCTCTTCCATTGACAATAGAACCCTATCAATCCCAAGAACCAAAACTAAGACCATCGGTGAACGCTCCTTCTACTTCCATGGGCCCACGTTCTGGAACCAGCTCCCCTTCCATATCCGTCATTGTGAAACTTCGTCCTCTTTCAAAAAGTCCCTTAAAACCCATCTGTTTAGGTCCGCCTATGACCTGTGATGCACCCTCCTTGCCCTGCCTCATTTTCTGTCTCGGGTTAATCCTGTAATATAGGCCAAAACGTGCCGAAGTCTCCTCTTTTTATAGCCATTTTAATTGTTTCTATAGTATAGTAGTTACTATCCTAGTGTCTCATTTTTATTTTACTTAGTTTACATGTTTTTAATAATTGTAAAGCGCTTAGAGCTATAAGGTAAGCGCTATATAAAAATGCCTAAATACATAAATAAGAAGAGAAGTAGTGATTTGCATATAGTTTTAATTTTGTTTATTGATGTCTTAAAGTTTGAGCTACAATTTCAATCATAACATTTAAAATTTCGATAAATACGTTACAATGGAAAGATAAGTTTTAAAATGTTTTTTTCTTTCCAAGAATTGTTCATTTGTAAAAGCCCTTTTTTTCTACTTTGCTAATATATGAACGTGATTGTGACTTTAAAAAAAAAAGTGTGAGGACCGGTGTACAAGTGCTACTGAGCCTAGTGCTTCAACGCAGTGAAATAGATCTTTAAATAAATATAATTAAAAGAAGAATTTATATCAACCTTCAAAGACGTTTTAAAATACTAAAACAGTTGAAAATAGATCACAATTTCTTAAAAGGCATTACGCATAGACAATACACACCAACGGGAAAAATAACCAGTTTACCAAGAAAAACGATAACTATGCTGGTTTTATTAATAATATTCAATTTTATTATATTATTACATTTAAATAAAAATTTGAAATCATATCTATATAGAAATAAATTCGATATTACTTTACAGCACTGTAAGGGCCAAGAAAAATACTTTATTAATATAAACCTACACAGGAACAAAGAGTTTAATCTTGTTAGTCTTCTCCTTTCAAGTCTAGAAATATGTCACTAATTTATGAAATTAACAAATGTCCTTCAGTTAAAAAAAGATGCTGGCTTATTTATCGAGATATTGCATCTCCCGAACCTATCCATATAGAATGTATTTGAACGTTAACAACCTTTTCCCGATCAAGGGATGAGTGGGTAGAGATGAAGCGCTACACATTTAATCGGTGACATTAATTTTTAAACAAAAATGGGGAAGGGGCGGGGGGGGGGGGTGTTAAGTGGGGGGGGGGGGGGGGGGGGGGGGGGTGTTAAGTGGCGGACGCTACAACTCTACGTTGAAACAAAATGAGAATATCACACAGACGATATCCAGTGTTTTATGTCTATACAACACAAAATGATAATGACTCTCAACTATTACAGTATTGCAACTGATGAAAACTAAAGTGTTTTTTTTTTTTTTTTTTAAATTAAACTCATAATGTCTCAGGTTTCCAAAATTATGTATGTTTTCCATTGCCTTTTTACTTTGTTTTTAGGCCCCAGATATTGCTACACGCCCACATACGGTCATTGCACAAAGGGATGCATGGGTCAGGTTGAGCGTTTAAATTCTGGGGGTCCTCAAGAAATTTTAAAAGAGGGTCCAGTAAACTCTCTCTAAGAGACATGGTTAAGGGCCTGAATATTTTTAAATAAACTAAGAAATGATTCCCATGACACTGCAGACAACATATTTGTATGGCAAACAAAAAACAAGGGAAAAAAAAACAACTACATTTTATTCTTTTAAGTGAATCGAATCAGCAATTTCATACCAAAATAAAAAGGGTTTTCGAAAAGTTTTCCCTCAGGTTCATAGAGATCAATTTGTAAATATTTAAATGTGCAACCTTTCCAGAAACTCCAACCCGTTGCGTATCTAGACTAATAAGACACGAACAAATTGTGTCAATATAACAATATAAGTTATGCCTTAATAATAATTATATCTAGTATCTAGACTAAATATCAGAGGGGGAAAGCCTTTAAAAATGTAAACTCCAAAATATAATTTCTATAATGCTACAGATAAATGCCTAAACTATACATTCACCCCACTTGGTTGGTTGCCACGTCATTACCACCGTCCAAAACAATTCAAATTAAAGTAATCCCCCCAGCCCTAATTCAAAAAGTATATTTCCTGCAAACACACAATAACTTTGAAAATCCAATAAAAAATATTTGGGATATAGGCATACAGGTTGGTGAAATGTTTTTTTCAAAGTTAATGTTCTTCGCCCTTCTCACGTGAAGATGACCAGGGCAATTTTCGAATCGTGTCGTAGCCATGACTTGAAGTGTAGCAGCCGTGACTTGAGGTGTATTAGTCATGACTTGAGGTGTAAAAGTCATGACTTGAGGTGTAGTAGCTATGAATTGAGGTGTATTAGTCATGACTTGAGGTGTAGTAGCCATGACTCGAGGTGTATTAGTCATGACTTGAGGTGTAGTAGCCATGACTCGAGGTGTAGTTTTGTTGGGTGTGATGGAGAGCTGCTCATTTCGCCAGCCCCGCTTTCAAAGTCCGTTTTATCCCATGGCAAGACTTGGTCAAGATCAATGGACATAGTCCAGGATGCAGTTAGATGACCAGCAGTGTGCTTGATGCACTGTGCTCTTGATGCGTTTTAAATCGCGGGAGTTGTCGGAATGTTCATTGTGTCCATGTCATAGACAAGGCTCCAGATATTATTTCAGAGTCTGCCTTCTCTTAGATGAGTTGCCAAACAAGGTGAATGTTTCACATCCTCACAGGGTTGCTGTGGATGGCTTCTGGCTTGTACCTTTGTTTTCTAGGGATAGGATTCAATTTGGGATTAACTCTTTTTAGGCCGCCCGACCAATGAGCGGCAAAGATTAGACCTAGAAAGACAGACACGAATAAATCTTTGCCTAATTTTAAAAGTGAAGAAAAATAATAACAATATACAAGTATAACACTAGAAAAACAATACTATCAATATACAAAAACAGTAATAACAATATTACAAGAACAATAATAGCCAGGAAAACATGAACATCACCATTTTAGTAAAAATGGGATTTAAAAAATAGAATCATCCGGCGCCATGATGTCCATACATTGCAAAAAAAAAAAAAAAAAAAAAAAAATAAAAAAAAAAAAAAAAAAAAAAAAAAAAAAAAAAAAAAAAAAAAAAGCAAAAAAAAAAAAAAAACCCCCTTTTAAAAAAAAAAGGAATTAAAAAAAAAAAAAACACCGGGCCATAATTTCCAAAAAATTAAAAAAAAAAAAAAAAAAAAAAAACATCAACGTCATTGTTAAAAAAAAAAAAAAAAAAAAAGAACATCAACGTCATTGTATTTTCCCATTTTTTTTTCGCCGTTTAGCGTTATCCAGATAAAAACTATGCACCAGGACGAGGCTGCCCTCAATACAACAACCATTTCAGTACACTCATATTACGATATGCAATTTCCCACAGTAACAACAAAGGTTTCTATATAATAACGTTCTTTTTTGCCTAGGCCCTATTCTTAACCACTCTTATCATTACCGCATAAGATAACATCTTCTATCTATTTTAACTTGGTATGAAAAAAGGGAGTATGAATTTCAATATGTTTTTCGAATTTTCAACATTCTTTTATGTTTCGGCACAGCCTGCGTACTGCTAGTGTCCATCAATTCTCTTGTGTATTGCAACGTTCAAATCGATGCGAGGCCACACACTAAACTTTACCCCAGGTGCTTTGTTATGCACACGTGCCAAGTGTTCGTTATGAAGCTTGTTATTGAGTTGAAGTAATCTCGCGTCCATCCTTAGAGACCATGTAAATTAATTTTTAGAAATTTACCAATGGCAAAAATAATCTCTCTCGTGCTATTTGAATATCTTGTTATGAAAGACTGTTTACTCACAAGTGCGTTATCTTGATAAGGCTAGAGTTCTAGAATTTCTGGTTCCTAACAATGAATAAGTCGTTGAATTGTAATTGAGACAGACTTAGGTGAGAGCTATTAACCAAACTGTAGAGACATATTTTCATATTCCCATTTCTTGTGAGCTGTAATGATCTGCACTATGTCTATTTCTTGCGCTGATTAAGATTTTCATCATTACTATAACTTGTGTGGATTAATATTTTTGCCGCGCTGGTGAAAAGACAAGTTCATGTGCTGTAAGTTCATATACATATTGTTTTTCCTTTTCTAATTTCTATACGGATGATTTTATAGTTCTGATAACAGAAATGTTATTGTTAATAAAATAAAAATTATACGTTTTTAAAGCTTTGGTATCGTTATCTTAAGATCTCAGATTTCAGTCATTTGATAAGTATAGTTCTTGTAGCGTGTACATTCGAAACAGAAAAAAATATTTAATCTATAAATTTAATTTTAAAAAAAATATTATTAAATGTGCGCCTATACTTGGTACTCATTCTGTAATACAAGAAAATACTTAGTGACGAGTTCACGGCTTCAAACACGTTGGAAAAAGAGAACGCTACAAGAAAAGAGTTCTTGTAATGTCCTAAGATGTAAAATTCTACAACAGTGATAACAATGAGCAAGTCAATGTAGGCGGGAAAATAACAAAGGATGTGGATGACTGCGATGGCCGTTATCATTTTAATTACCTTGGAATCTTTCTTATTCATATTTTTCAACGCTCGGTCGGCTCCGGAAGTGGTTTTAACGCGCCATTTTGATTTTTGTCGTAGCTTTGCAGTAAGAATAACTGTGAAAAGAATAATTAAGGGTATCGAAAGGAATTGACTAAATGTGATAATTGTAAAAGTTATCCCCCTTGCTGCCTGGCTGTACTTTCTCGGCACCATACCAATCATAGTTTTGTTTCTGTCGGGAAAATATTTCCAGTCTAAATAGAAGGTCATGTACTCGGGTATGATGGTTGCAAACATCATGACGTAGATTGAAACCATTATGAAAACAACGAGTTTAGGAGTGACCAATCTCTTGACTCTCAATGGGACCACAACGCACAGACATCTTTCGAATGTGATGTACGCCGTTATCCAGCTGGCAATCCTGCTGAAGGAGGCGATGGGCAACCCAGCAATGGCGGTCTGGAACTCTTGCGGGTCAATAAATATTTCTGAGTGGACCAATATCGGATTGTTGAGGATATCGATGATGAAATTGTTCAGCACAGTCCCCGTGTCACTGACGGCCAAAGCCAATAGGCTGATGTTTACCGTGTCATGGAAATCTTGTGACATGAAGACAATGATGTTGATGATGTTTCCACCGAGACCAATCAAAGAAAGGACGGGACTGATGGAGGCAATGTTTATGGTTAGAATCAGTTGGCAGAGTTCGTCACTGATCAGGCCAAGCACGGCGTCGGATATGGTATAATTTAACATTGCTTTGGTACTGGTACACCACTACTAGATGTATTAGTGAGATGCATCTACCGAAGCAGGCCTTCTATTTTTATCTGAAACTGGCAATATTTGAAATTCTAGTAAAAAGTTCATTAGTTAAAAGCTGTATTCCCATCTGTACAGCTTTAAAAGAGTAATAAAAGATATAAAATGCAATATAAAAACACACATTTTGTTGGTGTTTTTCATCATATATCGTCTTATGCCCGTAGCAGATGGGGCTAAATATATAATCTAATGCAGATTAAGTAAGTTGTAGATTATGCTTATTTTATTCCGATGTCTGAGGCAAATTGTGCTTGATTTAGTTTGGTGACTAGTACATATCTTTCTGGACTTTCTCTGATGGCTGAGACAGATGTTTTATTTTAAATTCTGATATTTGAGACTGATTGGTGCTTGATTTCCTCTGATAACTCAAACAGACGGTATTTGATTTCGTCTGATGACAAAGACAGAAGGTTGCAATTTACATATTATGATGTGTGAACAAATGGTGTATGATTCAGTCTGAGTTTGAGACATATGGTCCTTGATACAATCTGATGCCTAGGACAGATTGTGTTTAATTTAGTCTGAAGTCTGAGACATACTCATTTAGTCTGATGAAAACTACATATTTTTAAAATTACTTATATGATACAGTTGTTTCTTGATTATGTCGGGTTTAACATTTCTTTCCGTCTCAGAGATCAGCAGACGGAGCCGTGTTAGTGTTCCCGATGAGAAACTATCTTGTCGGGTACACGATATCTCGTCTTTCATAAAAAAAAATTGAAACTTAACATAGATCAATAAATTGATGTGACCTTCTTTCTTCTTAGCTACGACCTTGGCATGTTGAAAAAATAAAGCATTGAATTTAATATTCACAGTACTTGAACTTATTAAATATTTATGTCTTTTGAAATAATTTCAGTTATGTTGTTGTAGGCGCCTACATTTTAATAGTTTGTAATTAAATTTAGCGTGGAACATACAATTATTTGTTTGTGACACTGTAATTGACCGTCGCAAGCGGCATGAGTCATTTCGGAAAATAGTGATGCTTACATCGCAAGGTACAATTTTGCTCGCCATCGTAGTAAGAATTATTTCTACGCTCTCCCAATATTACTAGACTTATCGGAATGGCAAGAGCGGTGGCTCTCAACTTTTGCAGCTCAGCACCCTCTTTTTGATTTCAAAACATTTCCCCAACCCTTCATATCTCGCGCACCCCCCAAGAATAAAATACTTATTCAAATTCAATGAACCTGATATTCTAGGTTTTCCTCCTCTTCTAACACTGGCTCAAACCGCCCCTCAATTTGTGGACGAATTCCTGGTTTTGAAACCCTGGTCTATCGCACACCCTTCAATTACAAATGATTTAGAATTGGATTTTCGAAATAATTACGTGACTTTAACATCAAATATTGCCCAATAAGATTGGAAATTTAAGCTGTTATTTGTAATATTTTTTCTTATTCGAGCAAGTTTCGATCGACCCAAAGTTCGCAAAAAAATGTTTTAAATATTTCATTCGTGTTTGCTTCACTTGGTGTTAGGACGCAGACCATATGACAGTTCGTCTGTCGAGAGTCGACCATGGTCACTCTAAACAATGGTCTGTTGTCTGGGCTGAGTCTGTCCGTAGGCTCGTAGATGGCTTATCAGGTCAATGCTGGCAACAAAAGCGTTGGTGCATAAGGTGCAGGGGATCGATGGCTCAGCACCAGGTGCAGAGTTTGATAGGGATGTTCATGCTTGTCTCGATTCTTTGAGAGCAGTTCCAACATGTCCGGTACAATGTGAAATGCTTCCATAGATAAGTAGCAAAGAGCATCCTATCTCTAGGTATGACACTGTATATCGTCTCTATGACATATTTTTATAGCAGAAACCCTGCACTGAAAAAGAGAACAGCTGTCTTCAAGACATATGTCACGTCGCATCATTCATCCTTGATCATAAGCTAACGAGCCATACTAACATTGCTTAACAAAATCGTGCACTTGTAAATTCAAGACACAAACCTAGCCAGTTATGAATGTACGAAACTTCAGCGCAATAACATAGCTAGCCAGGCCCTGCACTAATGACAGACCAAAGATGGCGAGAATTCATTGGGGCCTGGATTATATAGCATATGGTTGCGTCGTGCCCATTTCCATTGGTACTAATGTTAGGCCCAGCCTAATTGTGCCATCTTTCGTGGAGTAGAGAGAGAGAGAGAGAGAGTGTGTGTGTGAGAGGGAGCGGGTCTCAAAAGGTGAGGACCAGCGAGTGTTGACACAAATCCGCCACGCCACATTAAATTTACAAGCAATCATTTCAAACTACTTTTAAAAATGGATTTCTTTCAAGTCAAAAAACCAAAACAATCATGAATTTTATACATAATCTATATGAATAAATATATCTTCTTTTGTTGATACTGGAAATACTTTTTCAAAACTACATAATTAAATATTAGATTGACGGATACAATTTTAAAGTTAACAAAGTTACAAGTGAACGGGTTACCAGGTCATGGAAGATAACCTCAAAAATATTTCGAATGGGATTTCTGTGGGGAAGCCACTGGAACGATAGACCAATAGAAGTGGTGATTTTAAATTCTTTTTCTCTGTTTAATTGGTATCTACAATATATTAAGTTTCATTTTCAATAGCGAAATTCAATATGTCGCCAAATAAATTTTACTGAAAAATTAAGTTTAAAAATGTTTTTCTTTCCAAGAATTTATCATTTGTAAAAGCCGTTTCCTCCACTTCACTTCTGTGTCAACGTGGTCGTGACTTGAAAAACGCTTGAGAACCCGTGCACGAGAGCTACTGAGCTTAGTAATACAACGCAGTTAAGTTGATTGGACAGTAGGTTGGCTTATAGCTACAACTTGTGACAATCTGTCCATTGCTGAAATTATAAAAGAATAAGAACACTGTCTTCTAGCAGTGGGTACACACGGTTTACCCGGCTTGGGGACATTATCCAGGATGGATTTAAAAAAAAAATCCTAAATTAGCTAATATTATATATATATATATGAGTACTAGCTGAATCAACGCAACCATGTTGCGCGTGTAAAGTACGTCAAGATTTCCATAATAGCTTAATATATCTCAAGATAAACTGACTACGAGCGTTATTTCGCTCCCACGGATCATGTTACGTTTAAAAATATCATAAAGTTTAGGCTCGGTGTTATTTTGTGCCCTCTCATCACAAAATATTGTATCAATCCTTTTCACAGTTCTGGGTTTATCATCATCGAAAATGTGTTTATGGGGGGGGGGGCAATGTGGTAGACCTCTTTTTTGACACGCAATGACGTAGAAAGGGCTTTTAGGTGTGCATTTGGTGCGTACTTGATCAAGCGCGCGACGGGGGAGGCAGCGAATAAGAGCGCATCACGGTGCGCAATGATTTATGGAGCAGGCACGATGCACTCGGGGAAATACTCGCATATTATGAGCTTGTTACAAAGCCGGTTCTTTTCTAGTTCAGAAGAGCTACGGAATTGGGCAACATATTTTGCCTTTACTTCAGTGATATAATTGCTTTTTAAAGTATTTATGAATACATGTGTTTGATATCATAAAAGGCTTGTAACTGTAACTGTTTATTCACCTGAATGTATCTTTTTTTTTCTTTCTTGTCTTCAAAATATCCAAGTCGTTTTTGATTTATTTGATGACAGCTCATGGATATCAATGTATGTCTTTAAGAAAATTCCACAAGATAGTCAAATAGCTTAAAGAAGTGTACAAAATATACTCTTGCAACCATTTTTGCTAGTGAGACATTTGCTTTAATTCTCTCACGTTTCATCTAACTTAATGTAAGACATTTACGTTTATTTCAAATATGAATTCATATTATTTCTTAAATAAGATGACCAAAATAAAATAGTAGACTTTTTTTTTCTGCACGTTGATCAACATAAAAATGGAGTTTTCCTTTTAATAAATATTCAATTTTTTTCCGGAAACCTAACAATTCTAAACATCAATAATATTTTCTTCACGAGTCAGACCACAAGTTTAGGATAGTGTATTAATCTCTATATCTTTGCCAAGTGAAGATTTTGGACAATAGTTTGGCGGTTCGTCATGAAAGTGTTTGTTTATATGAATGCAGTGGCGTAGCGAGGGTTTTTGGCGCCCGGGGACAAGATTCGCGCCCGGGGTCAAGATCCATTTTTAGCGCCCCTTTTTCTTTTTTCAACTCTCAAACCCATTATTTTCATCAATAAAATTTTATCAAAGCACATTTTGGAGCCCCTAAATAGCTGGCGCCCGGGGACAGCGCCCGGGGACATCTGTCCCCACACCCCCTCCCAATCAAATCAAATTACCATTTTACCGACTATTAGGGTCATACCACAATTTTCTGGGGGTGGTATCGCTCCTTTTGAGAACCCTAATCTAACAGAACAATTTTACAGCCACGTTTTTATAAGAGATCAATTTCAGTGCTATCCTCATCTAACAAGAGTGTCCAAACAGCAATCCGTGGGGCACATCCATCCCGCCATTATGTCTTACGTGTAACTTAAAAGTAGCGTTGTGAACGCGTACCCTGGAAATGATGCAGTCATCGAATTTCATAAACACAAGAAGACGACACATCTACACCACTCAGTCTTAATGCGTTGGCGAGTCGCCCTCTTTCTGTGTGCCCAAATTTGTTATGCTAGAAAAACAAAACAACAACAAAGAAGTATCATAGCTAAAAAAAATTATGAGAATGGAAATGGCATCTTTACTGTTTGACAGACGTAACAGAGATATTGAACTGTTTCAATGTGCAACTTCGATAAAATTGGAAGCTCGTTTATGAAAATAAATTAAATGAAATTGAAAGAATTTCAAGTAAAATAGATCTCATTTTATTAAAAAATGAACTGACTGAACTAAGAATTGTTACTCTGTGTATGACTGTCTCCCCTTGGATTAGAACAGTGTTGATTGCGGATCGTGTTGTCCAACCCTGGCTGAACTGTTTTTTTTTTACATGGAAGGGCTTCACAGTTTTATTTGTGGAAGGGGTCAGGAAAAATCTTGACCCAATTTGGATGGCACTATCTCTAGCTACGTTACTGTATACCTACTCTGGGACACATCTCAGATTGAAATACAGCTACAAGTAATATGATGATGATAAAAGTTTTACTTATTTATGTTTTATTTTTATTTCTCTGTTGTTTTGTTTCTTTATTTTACTACATATAAAAAAGATATGTGGGGTGTGCAAAGGAATTCGTTGACATTCCATTGTCCCCGCCCCATTCCCTCCCCACATATCATCTCCGACGGATAGAGACATGAACACGGCTTGGAACGTGACCTCAAATAGGCTAGCGATGTGATTTTGGTGGAGTCACTTTCTGAAAAAAAAAGAGTGCTTAGATCAGTTGAGAGCAATGTTCCCTTTAAGCTGCACGGCTGCACGGCCGCGCACCTATCTCACAAACGCCGCACAGCAGTTTTGAGTATCCGGGCAGCAAATTGCCAGGTAAGCGTGTTTGTGTTTGTGAGCTGTAAAATTTTGCACACAAAATAATTGATGCTGTAAAAATGTGCACACAACTGTATGATTTTGCACACGAACCAATAAACCTTAGAGGGAACATTGTTTGAGAGGCTGGTTATTTGTAACCAGCTGCTTTATTGTCCACTCCTAATCACTAGCAATAGATAGCTATATATAGCTAATTGTAATCCTTTTAAAGAACACTCGGATTAATAAACCACCTGTAGAAAAAGAAACAACTCAACACTTCATGCGCTTTGCATTCTCAACAGGTCGCGAATTGTAGTTTCAAATCCGTCACTAAATATTTAAAAGCAAATAATTTTAATAACTTGTAAAAAAAGGATTCATGTTAATAACTGTACCTATATACGTACATTTCTTATTTGGTTGATTTTGGAAATACGTTTTTAGAAAATAAGCAAATAATATAAAGTTTGTTGGACACAAAAAAAATTAAATTAATCAAGGTATAAAAGCTCAGGTGTTCGCGGGCATGGGATGTTACCTCAAAAGGTGTTTCGAATCGGATTTCTGTTGGCTGAGGAAGGCTTTATGCCGAAACGTCCTTGTTTTTTGTCCTGTTACCTTATTTCAAGCTTCCACATACCTCGTTTCGCTATTTCATTCATTTATAAAATACGACAAGGTCTCATAAAACCTATTGAAATAAACAGAGATAAAATACTGAACAATAGAGTTCCCAAAAACTAAATAGAAGTAAAAAGTATGATAGGATTATTTAATTTTTACATCAATTTTGTTTCTAAATTTTCAAACATTATGTCCCCACTCAGACAATTATTGAAAAAATATAATCCGAAATATAATCATAAGTAAATAAACTGGTCAAAAGAGTGTGAAAGATCATTATTTTTTTTTTCAAAGTAACAAAATAGTAATATCAATTGATTTTAAGAAAGCATTTATTTTGAAAACAATTGCATCTAATTTATGAAGCGATCTTGCCACATAAGATTTAAATAGTAGCATTTAAAATCAAATTGACGTACGAATAATGAAGATGACACATAGAGTAGAAAATCATAATGTGCATACATTATCAATTTTCTTCACACAAAAAAACAACTTTTAACATATTTTTGATAGTTGCAATTAGGCAATGACAATGAAAAATTGGGGTTTAATACATTTCTTGTACCAAAAAAAAAAAAATAAATAAAAAAATAATTAACATAATGAATTGTTTCGTATAATGTATTATTTTCGCAGTTAAAGATTCACAGGAAGTTAGGTATATGAATATGTCATGCGCAGAGGTACAACAAGACAGAAAAGTCATAAGATTTAATTGGAACTAGGCAATAGACGAGTTTTACTGAACATCTCATGGCATCGTGTCATTTATCCAACATATCTGAGTGAATCACGAGTATGAAGCAATAAGGCGATGACAATTACGTTTCCTCCAGTTGGAGGAGATCTATTTTAAACTGTGGGAATTGTATATTCTGTCATTGAACTTATCGTGATGCTATACATGAAGTTTGCCCTCGTGCTTTTAAACATTGTGTTGATTGTTGAATGTGGATAAGCTAATACGAAGAGAAGTTCAACACGATACAACAACTTAATACATATAACTTCGTCCTCACAATTAACTATGTTGTTACAGTGTAAATATCATAACACACCCTGCTGGTTTGATGTCAAAGTTTGACTTATCTTAGAATGGGTTGCCATCAAAAGTGAACGAGTCACATCCTTTTTTTTTTTGCTTGTCTTTGTGTTTTCTAGGAATAGGAATGAAGTCCACAAATCAGGAATTGACTCATTTTGGACTGCTCCATCAACCAACACAAAAGATTAGACTCAGAAAGACTGACATGAATTGAATCTTTGCCTAATGGTAAACCTGAAGAGCAATAATAACAATATACAAGAACAATAATAACAATATACAAGAACAATAATAACCAGAAAAGAAATGATCATCACCATCTTGGTAAAATGGGGGGGGGGGTTAAAAAATAGAAATTGGTGGCTTGATCCTCATCAATTACAAAGAGACAAAAAACTCAACTTACTTTAAGAACATCGAAATAAGTATGCGAGTACATGGTCGTTGTTGTTTCCCTTTATTTTTCGTCGTTTAGCTTTATTTCGATAAAAACTATGCACAAGGACGAGGCTTCGCCTTCGCCTAGTACAACAAACTTGTTCGTACACTCATATTAAGATACAAATTTTTCAACAGTAACAATACAGTTTTGTATTGATTTGTGTGTGTGTGTGTGTAGGTCCTATCATTAAATACTCTTATCGAGACGGTATACCGGTATACCATAACACATTTCATCTATTTTTCCGATAGGTATGAAAAAAAAAAGAACACGGATTAAGTATCGCAACATGTCTTTCGGCGTTTTCATCATATTCGTCTCTTTTGTTTTGTGAGTCACAAAGTAAGGCCAGGCCGCGCACAAACCCCCCCCCCCCAGGCCCCAAAGCGTGCTTGATTATGGACACGTGCTACGTGTTTGTTATGAATCCTGTTATTGAGTTGAAAAAAAATTCGCGTCTTTGCTTAGATTATATATTAACAAATTGTATAAATTTACCAATGAAACGAAAATCTGTCACGTGCTACGCGAGTACCCTTTTTTTTATGAAAGACTGTTTACTCACATGTGCCTCTTCTAGATAGGCTTAGATTTCTAGATGTTCTGTTTACCAACAATAAATGTTACAAAGCGTTGGTATCGTTATCTTAGGACACTGGTTTCAATCATATGTGTATAGTTCTTCTAACGAGCAAAGCGCTAAAACAGATTAAATTGTAAAACTTGATTAGTTTAAAAATAGCGTTAAATGTGCGCCTGTACTTTGTACTCATTTTGTAATACAAGAAAATACTTAGTGACGAGTTCAAGCTTTCGAACAAGCTAGGAAAGGAAAATGCTATTAGAAACGAGTTCTTGTAAAGTCCGACGATGTAAAATTCTGGAACCGCGACAACCATGAGCAATTCAATGTACGCAGGAAAATAACAAAGGATGTGGATGACTGCGATAGCCGTTATCATTTTAATTGTCCTGGATTCTTTCTTATCCGTGTTTTTCAACGCTCGGTCTGCTACGGAAGTGGTTTTACCTCGCCATTTTGATTTTTGTCGTAGCTTTGCTGTAAGAATAACAGTGAAAAGTATAATTAAGGGTATCGAAAGAAATTGACTGAATGTGATAATTGTAAAAGTTATCCCCCTTGCAGCCTGACTGTACTTTCTTGGTACCATGCCAATCAGAGTTTTGTTTCTGTCGGGAAAATATTTCCAGTCTAAATAGAAGGTCATGTACTCGGGTATGATGGTTGCAAACATCATCACATAGATTGAAACCATTATGAAAACTACACTTTTAGGAGTGACCAGTCTCTTGACTCTCAATGGGACCACAATGCACAGACATCTTTCGAATGTGATGTACGCCGTTATCCAGCTGGTGATCTTGCTGAAAGAAGCGATGGGCCAGCCAGCCACGGCTGTCTGGAACTCGTGCGGCTCAATCGAAATATCTGATCCGAGTAAGATGGGATTGTTGAGGATAGCAATGATGAGATTGTTCAGCAGCGTCCCCATGTCACTGACGGCCAACGCCAAAAGACTAATGTTGACCGTGTCTTGGAAACCTTGCGTCGTGAATACAATGATGTTGATGATGTTTCCACAGAGACTTATCACGAACAGACCGGGACTGATCGAGGCAAGGTTAATTGTTATAATTAGTTGGCAGAGGTCATCACTGATAAGACCAAGCATTGAGTCGTATTTGGTTTGATTCAGCATTGTTTTGGTACCTAGTACAACACTACTGGATATATTAGTGAGGCAATCCACCCATGCATCTAACGAAGGAGGCGTTTTATTTTGATCTGAAACTTCAATTAATTAAATTCAAGGAGAAAAAAATCGCTACTTAAAAACAGGATTCCCTTTTGTACAGCTTTAAAATATTAGTAAAATATACAAAATAAATTTTAAAAAATTCAATTTTTTTTTTATGTTAGTCATCATATATCATGTTTGATCTTGTCTGATGCCTGTGGCAATTGTTGCTTGAGATAGTCTGTTGTCTGAGGCAGATGGTGCTTAATATAGTTTGATGCAGATTAAGTCAGTTGTAAATTTTTCTTGTCTTATTCTGTTTTAAGGCTTCATTTAGCCTGATGCCTGTGTCAGATGATGCTTGATATAGTCTGTTGTCTGAGGTTTCATTTAGTCTGAGACTGTGACAGATGGCGCTCGATTTATTTACTTTGATGACTGAGACAGAATTTGTTTGTTAATTCTGCTGTCTGAGACTGAAATTGCTTGATTTACTATGTTAACTGAGAATGATGTATGAGACTGATGTTGCTTGATTTACTATGCTAACTGAGAAAGATTGTCCTTGATTTAGTCTGATGTATGAGACTGATGGTGCTTCATTTACTATGCTAACTGATGATGAAGTATGAGACTGATGGTAAATAAAAACTTAACACAGATTGATACACTCATGTGATCTTCTTTCTTCTAAACTTTGGAGGACTCTCCGACACAGGCATAAAGACTATAATATAGCTTTGAATTCAATACTCACCATAAATTAACGTATTTTTCTTTTTTTTTTTTTTAAATTAATTTCAGATTATCTAGGTGTCTACTATTTAATTATTTTGTTATTAAATATTGCCTGGAACATAAAATTTCTTGTTCTTTATCAAAACTCAAAACGTCTGACTAGAAATAGAAGAATTTGACAATTTCGTCTCTGACAAAATAGAGAAATACACCGATTAGTTTATAAACTATTATTTTGACGAGTGAAAATGTGCATTAATATAAGTCTCTGAAAGGGGACGATCATTAAATTGTATCTGGCTAACATATTTTTAACGACTAAACTTGTTCTGCACTGCTATTTGCCGTCGCAAGTGGCATCAGTAATTACGAAACTATAGTAAAGCTTACATCAGGATGTTCAGTTTTCCTCGTCATCATAGTAAGAATTATTATAGGGTCTCAAGACATTACTAGAATTATCGGAAAGACTAAAGCGGTGGCTCTCAAATTGCTTGCAGTCCTGCACCCTCTTTTAATTTCTGAACATTTCCCTCACCCTACATATCTCGTTCACACCCTGAATAAAATACTTATACAAATTCAAATAAACGTGACATTCTCGGCCCCCCCCCCCAACAACTCTTAACACTACCCTCAATCACCCCCNCTTCAATAAAAAAAGATATAGAATCGGAATTTTGAAATGAGCACGTGCCCTTAGCATCAGATTTTGACAAAGATGATACGAGATATACACACATATATATATATATATATATATATATATATATATATATATATATATATATATATATAGAGCGAGAGAGAGAGAGAGATATATATATTATTAAAAGCTATTATTTGTAATATTTCTAAACACCTGCCTGTTGTCTGATCTGAGTCTTTCTTTGTGTTGACAGATGGCTCATCAGGCCAATCCTGGGACCAAAAGATTTGGTGCATAAGGTGCAGGGGATCGATGGCTGAACACCGAGTACAGAGTTCGAGCGGGTTTTTCAGGCTTGTCTGGGATTCTTTGAAGAATGTTCCCCCATGTTCGGATCAATGTGAAATGCTTCCAACGGTATGTAACAAAGAACGTCTTATTTAACCAATTTATTATATTTTTTTAGGGGGAGGGGGGGTGCGCCCACATCGGGTGGCACTATCGCCAGCTGCGACACTGCATATCGGCTCTGTGGCATATCCTCATCTAGGCAAACCATGCACTGGGAATAGGCAAACATCTTTTCTTTTTTTTTTTTAACACCTATGTCAGTGAAAACAATTTTTTTCCGAATAAACCAAAGTGAAACATCTGAAATATACAACCAGACGCTGACTAAATGATACGGAACCGGACCTTGCCCATCATATGAGCGAAAAGCAGGAACTTATTTCAGATAGAAATACAGGTGCAAGTAAGATTATGTTGATAGTAATATGTTCTTCATATATGTTTTATTGGTTTTTTTTTTTTTTAATTTATTTCACTGCGTATAAAAATGTATATGTGGTATGCACAGAATTTCGTTCACATTTCATTGTATTCCGAACCGGCCCCATCACCCACTAATAAAAAAAAATCTCCGACGGAGGGAGAGATTCCAGAAGTAAACATTGCATGGAGCGTGGCCTCAACTCGGATGGCGATGTGATTTCTTTGGGGTCACTTGCTGAGAAATTATGGTTAAGATCTGTAGAGAGGTTGGTTATTTGTAACTATTTGCTTTATTTTCAAATGCTAATCACCAGCAATAGATAGCTGGATAAGTGTAGTCCTGTTAAACGACACTCGGATTCAAACGCCTGTAGAAAAAAGCCTCAACATTTTTTTTTTTTTTTTTTTTTTTTTTTTTTTTTTTTCATTCTTGACAGGTCCTGAATTCTAGTTTTCAATCTGTCTCTAAATAGTTATTGATAAATTATTTTTATAAATTGTAACAAGCGATATAATAGGAATTTTTTTTTAAAAATAGTCATACATTTGAATGCATGTATCTATATAATTATATGTTTCATTTGGTTGATTTTGGAAATATATTTTTAAAAAGTGCGTAAGATAAAGGCAGTTACGCTTTATTAGTGCACATATTCAGTGGGCTAAAAGTTCATACACAACTTTGTTTACTTTTATCATTTCACTACAGTTTATTTTGTAGTAATTATACAAAGAATTGTTAGTGTTAATAAATTTATTAATGCTAACTTCAATACCTTGGGTATCGTTACACTAGATGCTGATTTCATGCATTTGTTAAGTAAAGTTCTTTTAACCGAAAAAAAAATATCCTAAAACTGATTAAATGGTAAACCCTCTTAAAACGTTTTGATCTTCATTGGTTTGAAAATATCGTTACATATTTGCCTGTACTTTGTACTCATTCTGTAATACAAAAAAATACTTAGTGACGAATACAAGCATTCAAACAAGTTAGGCAAAGAAAATGCTATGAGAAAAGAGTTCTTGTAAAGTCCGACGATGTAAAATTCTGGAACAGTGACAGCAATGAGCAAGTCAATGATGGCCGGGAAATAACAGAGGATATGGATGACTGCGATAGCCGTTATCATTTTAATTGTCTTGGATTCTTTCTTATCCATGATTTTCATCGCTTGCACTGCTCCAGATATTGATTTAGAACGCCATTTTGATTTTTGTTGTAACTCTGCAATAAGAATAACTGTGAAAAGTATAATTAAAGAAAATGAAAGAAATTGACTAAAAGTGTGAATTGTAAAAGTTATCCCAATTACAGCATCGCTGTACCTTCTCGGCACCATACCAATCAGAGTTTTGTTTCTGTCGGGAAAATATTTCCAATCTAAATAGAAGGTCATGTACTCGGGTATGAGGGTTGCAAACATCATCACATAGATTGAAACCATTATGAAAACAACGAGTTTAGGAGTGACCAATCTCTTGACTCTCAATGGGACCACAACGCACAGACATCTTTCGAATGTGATGTACGCCGTTATCCAGCTGGTGATCTTGCTGAAGGAGGCGATGGGCAACCCAGCAACGGAGGACTGGAACTCTCTCGGTTCAATTGAAATGTTTGCACTGAGTAGAATGGGATTGTTGAAGATAGCGATAATGAGATTATTCAGCAGCACCCCCATATCACTGACGGCCAAAGCCAAAAGGCTAATGTTGACCGTGTCATTGAAACCTTGCGTCATGAAGACAATGATGTTGATGATGTTTCCACAGAGACCAATCAAGGACAGGACGGGACTGATGGAGGCAAAGTTTATTGTTAGAATTAGTTGGCAGAGTTCGTCACTGATATGGCCAAACATCGCGTCGTATTTGGTTTCATTCAACATTGTTTTGGTATCCGTTACACGACTATTAGATATAATAAGTTAGATAGATGTATTAGTGAGATAGGTCTATTTAGGTATGGTTTCCTCTCTTATCTTAAATAGAAGCATTTTTTTTTAAAATTCCATTAAAAAGGGCAGTTACTTAATATGGAATATTCAGGGGACGTCTTAATAAAAGTAATAATACATAGTAGAACAAAAAATAACTCTTTCTATGTCATTAGTCATTATGTGTCATTAGTCATTATGTGTCGCGATTGAATTAGTCTGATCAAATAGATAGATGTGTTTGATTTATTCAGATGACTGAGATAGATGTGTTTGATTTAGACTGAGGACTGAGATAGATGTGTTTGATTTAGTCAGATGACTGAGATAGATGTGTTTGATATAGTCTGATGACTGTGATAGATGTGTTTGATTTAGTCTGATGACTGAGATAGATGTGTTTGATTTAGTATGATGACTGAGATAGATGTGCTTGATTTAGTCTGATGACTGAGATAGATGTGTTTGATTTAGTCTGATGACTGAGATATGTGTATTTGATTTAGTCTGATGACTGAGAAAGATGTGTTTGATTTAGACTGATGACTGAGATAGATGTGTCTGATTTAGTCTTATCATATATATTAGCTTTCTTTAGTCTGATGACTGAGATAGATGTGTTTGCTTACTCTGATCACTCCGACAGACGTGCTTTCTTTAGTCTGATGACTTAGATAGATGTGTTTGATTTAGACTGATGACTGAGATAGATGTGTTTGATTTAGTCTGATGACTGAGATAGAGGTGTTTGATTTAGACTGATGACTGAGATAGATGTGTTTGATTTAGTCTGATGACTGAGATAGATGTGTTTGATTTAGTCTGGTGACTGAGATAGATGTGTTTTATTTAGTCTGATGACTGAGATAGATGTGTTTGATTTAGTCTGATAATATATATATTTGCTTGCTTTAGTCTGATGACTGAGATAGATGTGTTTGATTTAGTATGATGACTGAGATAGATGTGCTTGATTTAGTCTGATGACTGAGATAAATGTGTTTGATTTAGTCTGATGACTGAGATATGTGTATTTGATTTAGTCTGATGACTGAGAAAGATGTGTTTGATTTAGTCTGATGACTGAGATAGAGGTGTTTGATTTAGTATGATGACTGAGATAGATGTGCTTGATTTAGTCTGATGACTGAGATAGATGTGTTTGATTTATTCTGATGACTGAGATAGATGTGTCCGATTTAGTCTGATAATATATATATTTGCTTGCTTTAGTCTGATGACTGAGATAGATGTGTTTGATTTAGACTGATGACTGAGATAGATGTGTTTGATTTAGTCTGATGACTGAGATAGATGTGTTTGATTTAGTCTGATGACTGAGATAGATGTGTTTGATTTAGTCTGATGACTGAGATAGATGTATTTGATTTAGACTGATGACTGAGATAGATGTGTTTGATTTAGACTGATGACTGAGATAGATGTGTTTGATTTAGTCTAATGACTGAGATAGATGTGTTTGATTTAGTCTGATGACTGAGAGAGATGTGTTTGATTTAGTCTGATCAAATAGATAGATGTGCTTGCTTACTCTGATCACTCCGACAGACGCGCTTTCTTTAGTCTGATGACTGAGATAGACCTGCTTGATTTAGTCTTATCACTGAGAGAGATATTTTTTATTTAGTCATTAGACAGCTGTTGCTTGAATTAGTTTGACGTCTGAGACAGCTATTGCTTGAATTAGTTTGACGTCTGAGACAGCTGGTGCTTGATTTGCTCAGATTTGTTTCCACCTCATCGCCAGCGGACAAAATCGAGTGAATATTCCTTTGAACAATCTGTCCCATGCTATACCCAATATTTCGCCTTTCATAAAACTGTTTAACTTAACACAGATCGATACATTGATGAGGTCTTCTTTCTTCCTAGCTTAGGAAGACTCTATTTTGTTGTTGTTTTTTTAAATATAGCGTGTAACATACACATTTTTAGTCTCTGTTGCAACATAAAACTTTTGACTACAAATAGTAGCATTGCACGCTTTAGTTAAAATTTCGTCTCTGACAAAATATTTAAATACACTGATCTAGTTTACAAACGATTATCATTGAAGAGTAACATGTTATATAAATATAAGTCTGCAGGAGAACTATCATTAAATGTTACTTTGTGTAATAGAGCAATATTTTCATGAATCCAATTTATATTGTTGGATAATGTAAATGGTAATTAATTTTCAATGATATTACATGTTGTGCACTGTTATTATTGTTCGCAGGCCGCATGAGCAATCATAAATAAATAATATAGGGGGGTGATTTTGATCAAAGCTTATAAATTGTTGGTTTTAGTACAACTAAGATTTGTTTCCACGGTATAAAGTTGTTATTAAAATTATCTGAATGACTAGGGTGGGGGCTCTTAAACGTTTTGCAGCTCTGCCCCCTCTTTTGATTTGGAAATGTTTACCCCACCCTCATCGGAAATTCTAAACATGTTTGGCGATTTTCCAACGAAAAATTGATTTTAAAAAATGCAAATATAAACTAATTGTTTGGGCTTTGATGCCTTCCGTATCGTCAGGTATCCCGGCTCACCTGATTAAGAATCCCTGGTCTACAGTATACCCTTCAATTACAAAAAATGTAGAATTTGGATCTTCGATATTTAAGCGGTGAGGAAAAATTGTCGAGTGTGTTCACATCAAATATTGATTAAGAGGAATATGAATAATCAATAGTCCTAATATTTTCAGGTATAATTAAAAGACATTATTTAAAAGCATTCTTATTGGAACAAGTTTTGTATTGACCTAACTCTCTCGAAAAAATCTTTTTGAACGTTATCACGCGCCAGTGTCTTTGCTTCGCTCGGTGTTAAGACGTAGAGACTATATAAAGGGCACACGAACAGTTTAGACCCATATGTTTTACCAAATTTAAGTTTCATAAAACTGGTTTCATGTTAAAGTAAAATTCTGATAAACTTTTATCAAAAGTAACACATCCTGCGTTGTTACACATTTCTACATACATTACAATGTTGAACCCATGTACATCCAGCAAAGAGGTTCTACAGCCATGTTCATCTAAACAAAGTGTTATCATTAAATCAGTTGTTCACTGCTCCGATGTTCTTGATGATTTGTATCATAATATGCTGCTTTTATGGCAGTTTTGCAACTTCTGTTTTAAGGTAATTTACGGTATTATATATGCAGTAACCTCCCCCGTGGTGACTGAAGATTAGGTTGGGACGCCCCCATTATAAAAATTATGCAACAGGCCAAAAATGTGACAACCCTAAATATATATATGTACAAATATATATATAAACATATTATATATATATATATATATATATATATATATATATATATATATATATATATATATA